CCCCCAATCTGTGTGTGGGGCAAGGTAACTGCCACTGCACACTGGGCTTTGTGCCCCAAGCAGACAGATCAGCTGTCAGAGGCTCCCTGATTGACCAGTCAATCACAATCAACCAGTTGATGACCATTGTATTAAGGTATTGCATCAAAGCCATCTAACTAGTCAAGGTCTTTTGTAGTCAGTAACAAACTTGACCTAAAGCCTGTAGCTAGGTCCTATTTCTGTGCCATTCCAGTGCTGTAAACTAGGACTTGAAGCAACTTCAATAAACTGAATGTAGCTGGGCCTGACTTCTGTGAAGAATAGCCACTGCAGTATTCTGTGTTCTTTAACTCAATACATGTATTTCTTCCTAGATGCTCTAATGAGAAAAGCCTTTACATCTGCCACCTTTAATTCTGACGCATTCATCACCAGCCTGCTGATCCACATGGGGCTGCTCAAGGTGAGAGGACAGGAAGGGGTTAAAAGCAATGACAGGAGCTGTGTGTTGTTTTCTAGTTGGATTGTGGGTAATCATGTTGCCTTGGAGACAGGAACATTAAAGCTCCTGTGCCTGCCTGGTGCCTAGGGACAATAGCACTCTGCAGAGATAACAGGGATTCCAAAGAGCAGTATTCTGCTAGAGTGCAGGAGGTGGATTAGTTATGCCTAATTTATGTTCTACTTGGCCTGGCTTGTCTTTTCAAGATCACATCTCTAAGGCAAGGAGGATCATGCAAACAGATTTAGCTGCTGCCATACCCAAGCTTTTATAGAAACCCATGAAATGCTACACTCATGTAGTTTGACAACTTATAACGCTTGTGAATCTCTTCTTCATGTTCCTTGTATCTATAAAGGCTGCTCTTAAGATTTTTCTTTTTTTTTTATATAAAGGACAGTATCAAACATAATAGAAATCTGATCAATTGAATTGAAACATTTAACAGTCTCCTCAATGCTTGCAAAGGACTGGAGTGTCTAGTGCATGGCTACACAGGAGAGAACTTTTTGGCAAGGTTGCCATGTAATAATCTGCAACAAGGTGGTTAACAAGATTAGGATGACCACAGAGGATTTGCTGAGGTGAATTTAAGATGGGTAGGGCTTTCTGCTTGTAAGCTAAAAGTGGTACTCTTCAATGTCATCTACAGACCTAAAGCTTCCAGCCCCTGGGACTGGGAAACTTAACAAGGGACATTTTTTCCTAGAGCCTGGTGGGGGGAGTCAACAAATCTATGAAATGCCACAATCAATAAGATTTTTACAGCATGTTTCTTTCTGCATGCCTTCCTGGAGTTTTCCCTTTGCTTAGGGGAACAGTGTTAACAGGCTGGGAACTGAGAAGCATCTTAAAAATGTATTTCTCTGGCACTCCCACGTGGGAGTACAGTACTTACTAATCCCTGTCCATCACTGCTGACTGGCAGCTGCAGAGCCCTATCTAGTTTTCTAGTCCTCTGCTTTGTGGGACATTTTGTTCTAGTCTTCCTGTTTTCTGCTCCCTGTCCCTCTTACTATAAATGTTGAACAACTTGAAGGTAGTCTGCCACCTATCTCATTTCTCTTTCTTTAGAGTCCTAAACCAACTTGCTAGGGGAGCTAGCAAGCCCATCATTCACTGTTCGCCAAACCCTTTTTCTGGCTTGTGGGTATGTGACCTATTTAGGGTGGTGTGCCTATCCATGAATAGGGAATTTGAGTCTGCGTTTTTGAGTATCTTTCTCACTTTTTACATGAGGCAATAGCTGGACCTGTTCAAATGCAATTCATTTTGAATGCAGTCAAGGGTAAAGTCATACATCTAACAACAAGCAATACAGGTTGTGGCAGGAGGGGTTGTAGCCTGGAAAGCAGAGACGTAAAAATGGTTTAGGGTCCTGGGAACAAACGACTTGGCATCATGCTAGGAGGAAAAAGAAGTTAATGAAATAATTAAGTAATAGAGTAAAGACTTGCCTTCTACCTCCAAATGCTGAGACTAGTACTGGGACGCTGTATTCTTTTCTGTTCACGCTCAAAGGGATTCAAAGGAACTGGAGATGGCACAGAAAAGGGCCACAGTGTTTTGAAGGGATGGAGAAAAGACTTTTCAGTGAAAGATTTAAGGAGTTCAGCTCTCTTTGTGAAAGAGTACACGGAGCACTAAAGGGCTCTTTAATTTAGCATAGAAAGGTGTAACAAGAACCAGTGGCTGGAAGCTAAAGCCAGACAGGTCCAAATTAAAAACAAATGCTTTATTTCTAACTAACAAGGAGAGGATTTCCCCAAGGGAGAGGCAGATTCTCTGTATTTCATTGCTAACTGAAATCTGGAGTCCTTGACTTCTAAAGCTCCTCTTCCAAACACAAGCTACCAGATTCAGTGTACGGTTGACCTGTGATAGATACAGGTGGCTGATCTGGATGATCAGGTGGTCTCTTCCAAGCTCCAAGAAGTAATTATGTGGGGGACCTAAAAACAGTATACTGTGGGTGGAAAGGATGCAGAAGGGATTAACTGCATCTTCTGACAGACCCTCACAGGAGCTGTTGCTTTCCCACTCAACTGAAGTGAGTACCTTAGCACGGGATCTCTGGGAAAGAAAATCTTGGAGGAAATGTATGTGTACACGTATTAATTTTCCCCACACCCAAGCTCATAAGACAGCTTGAATTAGGGCAGATGGGAGTCTTCTTGGTGCTTGTATGTTTGACATGCAGACTTTGGGAGAAGGGAGGGGAGGGTGTGGGGGACTGACTCATGTCCTAGAGAATATTGTGTGCATACTGCAGTAGGCAGCTCTCCCTTTTACAGCAGATGGAAACTTCAATTCAACATATATGGAAAAAATTATGGGGTCTGTCGTGGGCATCAGCTTCTGCATCTTGGAAGTCCTCTGTTTACATCAACCAGAGTAAAATTTCTTGCTTTTGCTTACCATTTTTCTGGTAGTAAAGGAAGTGACTTGACTTTTCCTTTTTGAGGCATCTGCTGTTGTCTGACCAGCCAAGATAGAGAATGAGAAAAAGCAGGGACTCAAAGGTACTTAGTGTGACAGTTCTGCATGACTGACTCCTTGTTCATCTTTACTTCTGGCTCCACAGAGTGAAGAGAAGGTAAAGACTGTTCCAAGCCTATATGGCCCACTTATGACTCTGAACCATGTGGTCCAGCAGGACTATTTTCCCAAATCCCTGGCACCAGTTCTCCTGGCCTTTGTCACAAAGTAAGTATTACATCTAGCTAGTAGGCATATGGATTAATTAATGCATGTATTTCCTTCCATCACAACCCCTTGTGTATTATGGCTCTGGCCTTATGTAGCCTTGTGGTTATAAAGATAATATCAAATAGGCATAAAATGGAATTTATGCCCATCTGACTGTAGTGAGATGTGAAGTGCCCTGATCAACTTGTTTAGTTCCATGTAGGCACTGCAGTTCAGATATGGAGTTTGAGATGTTTCCAGAGTTCAGCATTTCTTTTCAAGAACTTTTGTTTTTGCTGCTGGGTGCACAGCATTTTGTTTGTCTCTATGCCTTGCTGGGTTACACTTGCAACTTCCTTTCTTCCCTCCCTTCTCTAAAAGAAGGGAAATGGAACATAACACATGTTTCTTTCACTGTTCTTCTAGAACCAAGTAGAAGGGAATTGAAGCTCAAGTCCAGTCTGCAGCCAAAAGTGCTAGTTCAGCAGTCTCACAGATTTTTTCCCCAGGGGAGCACTTGTTTGGGATTCCAGCCTTGTATAGTCTTTGGGAACTTTCTGAAGCCAGCCCAGGTATAGCTTCTAACGTGGGTGAGGCACTGGCTGCTTGGATTCTTAAGACCTGGCCATTTGCTCCATGATATCTCTCTTCCTTGGCTCCCTACACCTTCCCCTTCCACCCACACATACACATTGCTTTATCTGTAGCCCTCCCTCAGAGATCTACTTTCTGGCTCAGCTCCTAGAGAGGGACTTTACCTCTTCTGAAGAGAATGGTAGTCTGAAGTCAAAAGCAGTAAGGCACTTGACTCTTAAAACCACCTTTACTGGTCTACAGCAAATGGGTCCTCCTCCAAAGCCTATGCAGTTTATCAAAATCTTGATAGATTGGAAAGCTGGGCTGGTGCTAACAGGATGAAGTTGAGTGCTGACAAATGCAAGGTGCTACATCTCAAGAAGAATAATCAAAACATCCAAATACAAGATAGGTGACATTTGGCTAGGTGGCAGAACTACCAGGAAGGATCTAGGAGTCTTGGTGGATCACAAATGCAGGAGGTGATAGTGTCTCTCTTTACACAGCACTGGATAGACCTCATCTAGAGTATTGTGTAGCTTTTGGGTGTCACATCGTAAGAAGAAGCAGATCCTGTTTTTGTTGTTGTTGGGTTTTTTTTTATAAAGAGAGGGGGTATGGGAGTAGTAACCAATGCTGCAGGGGTGTTTGCATCTGCAGCTCCCCGCCTCCTCCCTCCTCTGCTGCCCATCTGGGTAGGCAGACCATGCCCTGAGAGCAGCAGCTGAAGACTCTCAAGTCCTGAAGAAAATAAACATTCCCCCCACCCCCCTTCTCCATGCTCAGAGGCACCTCTTCTCTCCCCTGCCTGCTGCTCCTGTCCACCCTGTCCTTAAGGGAGTGGGGAGCTCTTGTTCCGCTCCAGGTGAGCTGTATGGGGGCTGAACTCAACCTGGGATACTGGTGGTGGGTGGGCAGATTTTTCTTCCCCAGTGCTGCTCCCTTCAGGTATTTTCTCTCTTCCCCCAGTCTGGGAGCAGGCACAGGGAAGAGGGACCCATCTGCCTACTGCCACCATTGCAGGCTGAACCCAGCCCCTGTGCAACCTGGCTGGAGTAGAACAGGAGCTTCCCTCGCTCCCAGGACAAAGGATACAGGCAGTGACAGGGGAGGGGACATGCCTCTGACTGCAGGGGGGAAGGTAGAAAGGGAATTCTTACTTTCAGGATTTAAAGTCCCCTGGCTGCTGCTCCTGCCACATGCTTAGAAAGTGAGGTTCAGTCTTGCCACTGCACCCCTTTCTAGATCAGGCTCTGGGCACAAAGTTAGAGAATCCAGAGGCAGGCGATTAAAAAATGACTTGTAGTCCAAGCCCTTTATCATATGAAGATAGCCTGAAGGAAATAGGCATGTTCAACTTGTGGAAAAGCTGCTTAAGAGGGGCAAGGTGACAGTCTTTTTAAATATCTGAAAGGCTGCCATAAAGAGGAAGAAAATCACCTTTTCGTCTTGCTGCACAGAGCTAGGTATGCACCAATAGCTTGAAGTTGCAGTAAGTAGATTTAGACTGGCTATCATGAAAAGCCTCTTTGTTCTTCTAACAGTGAGACAATAGAATAGTCTGCCTAGGGAACTGCAAAATCTCCATCATGGGAGGTGTTGAAGTTGAACTATTCTCTCTCAATCTCTGAAGCTACTTTGTCCTGCTTTTCTCTCTCCTTTGTCTCTGGGCATCTCCCTCTTCAGGACCCTCTCAAGTGCCTCCCTGGCACCAGAAATACCAGGAAGCCTCTTTGTGTGCTTGTCTAGAGAACACATGCTTTGTCAATGTAGGTAACTTCCTCTTAGTTGCTTGCTGGCTCATTACACACTAATAGAGCATCTCTGGGACCCAGAGCTGGGCATACCTACCTAATTAACCTCTTTCCCTGTCCAGCTTTGTACACGGGGAAACTGAGGCATGCATACTTAAACCAGATGTCACAACAAAACAATTATCTGTTGCAAGCAAGTACATTAAGTGGAAGTCTGCAGAGCCAAACTGTACCTTCAGCAGTTCAAACTCTCCTTGTCTTGCCAAACAGCACAGGAAGGAGACTTCAAGTCAGACTGCCTGAAGAGCATCCTTCTGCCAAAGGTGGAGAACACTATTAAATACATACAACACTTGAACATAATTTTAAACTGATCCAAACATGAAGCTGATGGGTGCTGAATTGATTTGTTGTAAACTAGTTCAAAGTTGTGTGTGGACAATAAAGCCTTTTGTGATGCGTGTGGGGTTAGTCCTCCAGAAATCCTATACTGCACTCATGCCCCCTTTTCCCACTCCTGTTATAGCTGACTGCTCTGGTACTCAGTCAGACCTTTACTGCCCACTTTTTTTGTTTTCCTCCCCTCTCTTTATTGGTGCTTTTATCAGTGAGCTCCCTTGCACTACTTGTTCAATAAAAGTAGTCTTTCTAATGAGCAGCTGTGTCTTTGTTCCCTGCTTGACTGTAGCTCCTTATCATGTTCCACCTTTCCCCCTCCAGCCCCTGGGAACCCAAAAATGTGGGTGTAAGCACATCTCCCCTCTCCCTGGGCACACCAAGTTGAGCATAACTTTTTGTCTTTTTTTTTTAATTTTATTGAACATACATTTTTGGGATGAGATGGATAGATAGTGGTTAGTCAGACCAGCACGCCGTTCCCTCCCCCACAATGCACAACTCCAATCATTTTGGAGGCAATGAATTCATATTGTTCAAAGAAAATTCACCTTTGAGATGCTGGGCTTGGAAAGGGATTTGTTTTTGCAGGGGGGAGCTGGGGAAATTATGTACATTAAAGACTTAACTTAAGCAACCTCTATATGTATGAGCACAATAGTAGTAGTAATAGGTGGTGAAATGACTTAAGTTTCAGGGAAGGATGAAAAATGTGTTGCTATAGTTTTACTAGAATAATTGATTCCAGAGCCTCTTGTTCACAAGGCTTCATGGCATGAGCTGATCAGTTGTAACACTGAATTTCAGCCCGTATGAGTTTCCTCCAAAGATTCTAGCATAGGTTAGAATGGGTGGGAAAAATGGCAGGTTTGGCCAGCAGCCGGACTCCATTTCCCAGGAGCCCCTGCCTGTGTTGCTGCAGCCAGTTTCCATGTAGACCCCAGGAGGGGCAGGGCTATGACTGATCAGGGCCTGGGTTTCTACAGAGACCAACCCAAGCAGCACTGGCACTGCTGGGCAGGGAGCTGCTCTGGGGCTGGAATTTTATGGTGGTGACAGGTATAGTCCGGACCTGGGACAAAGCTGCGATCCATTTCCTGCATGCCCCACGAGGGCAAAGCCACAGTTTGCTGCCTGCGTGCCCCTGCCCGGGGGGTGTGGGCAGGAGATCACAGCTGTACCCTGGCTCTGGACCCTGATGTCACCACCACAAAATCCTGGCCCCAGCCCCGGAGCAGCTCCCTGCCCTGCGAGTGCTGCTTTTGCCGCTGTCACAGCACCCCCCAGCTCTCCATGGAAACTGGCTGCTGTGAAATGGAGTCTGTTGCAAGCCAAACTTTGCCCACCCTGGGATGGGATACAGGACTAGGTATATCAACAGGTAGACTTGCTTTGGTGTTTTGTATGCATCTGAGGTACTGCCTGAGTAAGGAGGAGTGTTTTACATCCATAAGAATTCAGTATAGGCTGACTTGATTTCCTGGTACTACTCTTTCCTGAGACCCTTCTGTTTTCTTTAGAGCTGCTTAAAGAAAGTAGTAATCTGTTTTTTCAAGGCCCAGGTGCAAGATAGTCTTCAAACAAACTTTTTTTTTCTCTCTCCTATCTCTACAGGCCTAACCGTGCTCTGGATTCCTGCTCTTTTGCCCGCCACATTCTGTTGCAAACACTTCATCAGCTGTAACAGAAGCGTAATGATGTCCTTTTCCCCTTCATAGACTTCATCAGCAGAGAGTTCTTAACTGGATGCCAGGAGAAAGTTTCGGCTTCTTTGGAAACATTCTCTCCGTCTCACTGGGATGTCTTTACATTTTTTTTTTTTTTTTTCTGCTTCAACAAACTTGGAGGAATCCTGCTGACTTTATTATTTTTAAATTAAATTCCCCACTTCCAAAGCAGACTCCCTGGTCTGCAGAACAATGAGCTCTGCTAGAATGAGTCCTATGGCTCCTTGCTCCACATGGATCAGAAAAAATCCCTATTCGACCCAAGCTCAATATTTCTGTCCAGTTGTGCCCATACCACCATTTTACAAGAGGTACCATACTTGAGGTTTCTCTGGAGTTGCAGCAGAGTCTGAACCCTACTAAGTTTTTTGGTTTTTTGTTTTGTTTTGTTTTGTTTTGGTTTTTTGGGTAACCATGGCTCCTGTATCATGCTGCCCTCTACTATTGTAGAAGATAATAGCAGTGTTTTGCTGCTGCTGCTTCTCCAGGTTTACCAGATTAACCAGCCCCCTGCTGCTGTTCCAGGACTGAGGCATGTTCCTCCTTGTTCTTAGTCTAGCCATTGGAGGGTGCTGTGTGGCCCATCTGAATTTTAACATATGCCCCCTCCGACTGTATATTAAGTTCCCTTCCAGTGGAGCTGACCCTGGTGGTCTTTGCTTATGGAAGCAAGCCTGTTTTGTTGTGATATTGCCATTACCTGCATTTCCCCCCTATTTCTAATTAAAATAGGCTTGGTTTGGAAATGAGTAGAATCAGCTGAATGCATATGGAGTTAAATATTTCCTTTCCTCCTTCCTTGCTGTCCCAGTCCCATGTTATAATAGGATCATGTTCTCTCTTATATGTGAATGTGGGACAGCTTAAATGGGACAAAATAGAGGTTTTGCAGTTGAGGATACTTCACCCTCAGTCTTGGAGCTGAAAAAACACTCTGTTAGTAACAAGAAATACCAGAGGGTCTTAATTCTATTAAAATATGGGGGATTATTTACCTGCACCTACAAGTGACAGTTCAGGGTCAAATTTTGTCTTCGTACTAACCCGTGTCTCCTCACAGATATTCAGGTCATTGGGAACTGCATAATATGTTTCTGCTCATTGTAGTGTTTCGCTCAGGGTGGAAAGGGACAAGAGGAGGAGATGTCTTCCATTAATATATCCCTCAGTTAATTCTCCTGGAGTGGTTTCTGGTCACCAGTGTAAAGAAGCTGCTCTTGGAATTTTTCTCTTTTACTATGAAAGCAGAGAAGTCCCCTCCATTTCCTTCTTGGCACAGCTGGAAAGGACTGTAAGTTCCAGGTTGGTTTTTAATGGTCTACTGCCTACGAGGTAGGGATTAGCTGAGTAACACATTCCCCAAGTGGCAGGAGCTAAAGAGGGTAAAGTTTGGGAAATCTGGAGCTTGTCCATGAAGGCTTGGGTGTGGTAGCTGGTGAGAATAAGAAAAGATTTTTCCTTCTCCAGGAGGTCACCCATATCCATGTCAAGCTTGATGATTTTTCTGCCTTAGCAGGCTTCATACCACATGTGCCTCACTCTACCTCTCCTTATATTGTCAGCACACAGCACAAAGGATGGTATATATTTCCTGTTCTTCTCAACTGCTTTGCTTCTAGATAGTCTGCCCTCGCCTTTTGAAGTCTGTTTTCCCCAACTTTAATTCTTTCTGTCTATGAACTGCCTGAGAGTAGTGTGATTTGTTTCCACTTTGTGGTCCTTGATTTTCCTTTCCTTTCTGTTCTGGCCTAATGGGCATCTCTGTGTTTCATGACAGATGCAAACATAAGCTATTCCTCTCCTATCCAGGGGTCTGGATTTCTGAAGGAGGTGCAGAATGCTGTAGAAGACCTCCCCTTTTAGAGGAGTGGAGCTTTTTATCTGCAAGGCTCAAGCAGTGCCTTCAAGACTGGTGGGGGGCTCTTTTAACAAATTCATGGTCAACAAACCTGCCCCCATACAAAAGCACAAATACTGGCCCATATTCCAGGCAGGCATTCTAAGTTAGCCCTCTTTTCTGTTCGTGTATTGGCTATACCTGAGTCACTGAAAGTGTCAGTGCTTTCATTTTTCAGAAGCACTTTTCTGTGACGCACTCTTTCCAGCATCTTTTACTGACCAGGCAAAATAGCTGATGTGAGCAGATGTTCCTCACCTTTCCAAACTTTGTCCTTCTTGTTCTTTCCTTTCAACAACTGTTTGCCCCATGATTTGAGGAACTGGCTGGGAGAACCAGTAGGTGCTAGGTACCATCATAGCCAGTTATACTATCTGATTCAGGTTGCTGCCCATTACCAATTCACCTTCCTTGTCCCATCTCAGGGGACTAGCCCCAGGGAAAATGGGAACTTCTGCTACACTACTGTTGAATGCCTTTGTATCATTTTTGTGCATGTGATACTGCCATAAAGGGCAACCCCACTTTCTAGAGCCATCTCAAATCTCGCTGTACAAAATATTCTTTAGGATATGGCCTTATCCCATTCTTCTGATATGGCTGAGCCATTGCAACCTCCTCTTTTTGATAGTGGTTTCTAAGTGTCAGTCCTGTGCTCTCCAGCATCTGTGTGTGTGCCATTTTGTCTTCCCACTTTATTTTCAGGATCTTGCACAGGCATCTCATGTGGAATCTGGTCAGTACCCTGATATGTCTAATGCATATAGTCTATGGTTTTTGAACCATAAAGCAGGGATGACAGCACACAAGTCTTGTAGATTTGCATCTTTGCTTTTGTTATTCCATGCACGTTCTATAATAGCCCAAAATTCTTAGCTGCCTTTTTGATTCTGTTAGTTCAGTCTGAAGGGCAAGATTCCTGCTGATCGTAGAACCCAAGTAGCAAAAGCTGTCAAGGATGCCAAGAGATTTACTCTACAGATTGATGTCAAGCACTGGTTATTCCACTCCTTGGCACATGATCACAGTCTTCCTGAGGCTAACTGTCAACCCAAAGCTCTTGCATGACGCAGAAAATCTGTCCAAGAGATTGTGCAGGGAAGATTCACTGTGGGTAACCGAAGCCACATCATTGGTAAACAAGAAATCTCTCGGAACCAGCTCTTTCACCTTGGTATTCACTCTAAACCTTGTGATGTTAAACAAGCCTCCATCTAGTCTAGTTTGAAGAAAAATGCCATCATTGCTGTCTTTAAATGTATGAAGAAGTAGGAATGAAAAGTAGATGTTAAAGAGCATGGGAACTAAGACACAACCCTGTTTCACCCTGTTGTTGATATCAAAGGCATTTGATTCTTGTTTTCATACACTAGTTGCCATCATATGTTGATGTAGTGAGCGAATGATGTTTAACAGTTTAGGGGGGGGACGACCCAATTTCTTCAGAACCATAAAAAGGTCCTGTCTGACTGTACTGAAGCCTTCATCAATCTGATGCAGGCCTATGTACAGTGGTATTTGTTTTTCTCTACAAGACTGAAAAATATCACACCAGTGGTGGAGCATGCTGAGCAAAAACTGCATCGATTTTCAGGATAGAACTTTCACCTAGAGATTGCAGCCTGGGGAGTATCATGGGAGTGACAACTTTTCTGACGTTGTTCAACAGGGAGGTGACTTGTAAATGCAAGAGCTCTGGTCTTCCATAGAGAATCTTCAATGTCCTGCAGCTTGGGTCAGTACAAAGTGCACAAAAGGAGTTTCTAAATAACCTGGAAATATTGCAATCCAGACCATGACATACAGTACTACTGTTATATTCTACATTTTAAGAGTGAGAAGGCTGGGGGCAGTCAGCCTCTGGATTGAGTGTGTCCTCTATCAGATGGGTATCTTTGGTGCATCTTCCAGAGACTCGGAGAATACCAAAGTGGATGGTCTTAGCATCCCTGCACCACAAATGGAAAACAAAGAGCTCTGTCCTTTATGCCATTTTTATAGATTGAGGTTGAATTGTAGATGCCCTGATTTTGTTTTGTCCTTTAACAAGAAGTGCCCTTCATTCTGTTTTGAAGGAGGGTGAAAGTCGATCCTCACTCCTTGTCTGATGCTTTTTCTTATCCCATGGTCACAAACTCCTTTTTGCCTTCCTGCCCATGCCTCTTAATTGTGTAAATGCTTTGCAAATAAAGACAAGATCCTACCTGCCAATCTTACTAGCTCTAGCCTGATCAAGGCAACCTGCTCCAAAACCTTTGGATAGTAGTGAAAAGCACTAGGACACTGGCAGCTCCCACAATTTCTTGCTCAGAATCAAGAAAGGATACTTCACTGTGACAAGCTCCATGGGTGCCCTAGTGTCCCAAACCTTTCCAGCCGGGGTCTACCTCTTCCCCTAGATGCCAGGTTCCCTGGACACCTCTTCTCCCTTGGAGGCTTCTTTTAAATCCTTTGTCATTTATCTACTCATCTAGTCAAGGAAGACAGATGTCACTCTGCATTTCCTCCTCAGTTGAGACCCGTGTTTTGAACATGGGTGTCTACACTGTGCCTATTAATGGATTTTTTTCCTTTGAAATGCAATTGGCTATTATATATGAGTAGACCCTCTCAAAGCCTCTCAGCCAAACTTCTTACACTGGAGGCAAGATATAGGAACTGGTTGTTGACTAATAAAACAAGTTATGCTGGTCTATGAACCAACTTATGCCCTATCAAGTATGCCGATTCTAAAATATAAAGCAGTCTGATATTAGGTACTTATGGTTGCTTGTGTTTTATAAGTGACCCAGATGAACATAGCTTGTTCTCAGCTGTCGATAAAGACCACACATGATATTAGATCCAATTTTGGGGAGGAATATCTTTTTATATATAAATTATGTTTTCTTGTACCCTGTGACATTCACCAAGACAGACCCACTGCACCATGCAACATGAATATTGGATGGCTTTTAGTATGGGGGGCAGTCCTGTTTCTCCCAAGTCAGAGACCTTCTTATTCATTGCCCCCAGCTTCCAACCAAGCTCTGTTGTCACCTTAGCAAGAAGTGGGTGAGATTCAAGTATTAATAGTATAGGAAAGATTTGCCATCTTCTAGCCGGATAAGGTATCCTTGAGGACTTGCCCCAAGTGCCTTCCCTACCTTCAACCATACATCAGCCAGCAAATCATCTTATGGCTTTGTCCCCCAAGCCTCATTCCTTCCAAGCAGGGACATGCTTTCACATGATTGACGTGAAAATATCTTTGTCTTTTTACCTATGCAGGATTCAGCCTTCCAGAATCTCTCTAGCTGGCTGTTTTGTTCTTCCAAAGGTGTAGTAACACTAGTTCAGAAACTCTTCAGCTGGGGGTGTACTGTGTTTGAAGTGTGCCCTGTGATGGCTAGGGGTGGTCATTAATTGGTGGCGGTCAGAGCTCATTCCTGCAGAGACTCCATGACTTCAGTGGCTTCCCAAAGGAGTGTAGTAGAGCCCAGACCATTTAGATCCCAGCAGCAGGTTCTTGAACTAAAAAAATGACCCATGCAAAGGGCATTGCTTCTCTGTTCAACTAGAGCACAGCAGCTGTCCCATGCAGCTTTTTGGGGAAGCTTTGCAAGAAAAGCTGCAGCAAAAAGCAGCAGTTTGTGACTCTCTGCTGCTGGATTCTTAACAAACTCTCATCTTGGCAGGGGTTTTAGGAACCTTTCTGCTCTCAACATGGCACACAAGGATGTGCGGGCTGTGTTAACATAAATACTGCTTTTAAGCAAGTGTTCTGATACTTTCCTTTTTGAGGTACGTGTGCCTTGCAGTGAGAGTGCATCAACCACAGCTTGAATTCTGGTTGCTGGTAAGCAACTCCCCTTCTCTTGGGTGGCTTTATAAGGACAAAGGGTCTGGCCTTAGCCACTAGTACTGAGCTAGGCTACCTGTTCCCTGAGGTGCAGCTTTCCTGATCCCCTTCTCCAAGCTGTACAGAGCTGTAACAAAAAGGCGCTGACCACCTTGCTGCTGCCTAGTGTCCTGGTCCTTTGCTTAAGTCGATTTTATGTTTTGTGAAGC